GGTAGCTGGAACTTTGGTATTGTACTATGTTCGTCAAAGAAGTCAAGGTCACTGGAAGATGGTGTCTTTCGCGGGACTCCCTCATTTCACAGCAGATGATGTTTTGAGGAGCTTCGGTTCACCCGAACCTAGTGAAGCAGTTCCTCAAGTATCAGACTTGGTGTGCAAAACAGTTTTGCCAACAGGAATAACAGTCATAGTGAGAAAAATCGACATGCAAGGCAAGAAGAAGGGTCTTATGTTGAAAGTTTTGACGCAAATGGGGAATGCGAGACACGTGAATCTTGTCAGATTGCTCGGTTTTTGTTACAACAATCATCTTGTGTATGTATTGTATGATAATAACTTGCATACCGGGACTCTGGCCGAGAAGATGAGGACAAAGAAGAGAGACTGGGCAACTAAGAAGAGGATCATCACTGGAGTTGCAAAGGGACTTTGTTTCCTTCACCATGAATGCTACCCTGCAATTCCACATGGAGATGTGAAGTCGACTAATGTTTTATTCGATGACGATAACATGGAACCTTGCTTGGGTGAATTTGGTTTCAAATACATGCTACATTTGAACAAAGGCTTGGTCTCTTCAACTGCAAACACAGGTACTAACTACGCGAAACGGAATTTTCTTAGCACAACCATTATTGCTCCTAACATTAAACTCTCTAAAGCAGATCAGATGAACGATGTAATAAGAGTGGAGCAGGAAAAAGATGTGTACAACTTTGGAGAGCTTCTTTTGGAAATCTTAACAAATGGTAAGCTGAAGAATGCTGGTGGATTGATACATAGCAAGCCAAAGGATGTTATTCTACGTGAAGTATACGCAGAAAACGAAGTGAGTTCTAGCGATTTTGAACAAGGAGAAGTTAAAAGAGTTGTCGAGGTCGCTCTTCTCTGCATAACAAGTAACCAGTCTGACCGTCCCTGCATGGAAGATGCACTCAGGTTCTTATCTGAAGCACATAGTAGATTGAAATAGGTTCTATGAACAATGTTAAAATGCACATAGTTTCCCTTATATATAGTTGTATTGTACTAAAAACCTCCTCTTTCTTTTATGGATAGGTGTGACTTTTTAGTTTCTTTGTTGGATCCATATGTTATAATATTGTTCTTGTATTAATGTATTATTGTTGCAGAACCAAGAATAGAAGTGCTTTCTTTGATGCAACTTGCTTTTGTTTTTGTTTTCATTTGTACACCCAACTACTCCCTCTATATCAAATTAGATGATTTTCTAGAGGTTTGTTTTTGTATCAAATTATATTATTTTTTGAGTTTTCAAGACAAAATTAAATGC